CTTGAACAGTACGTTTTTGTTTTTTCGAGCGAGGTCCAGAATGGTGGCTTGATTTCGTAGGTTCCATTGGCGGATTTCCGACTTACAGCGATTCCGCATTTTACGAAATTCCAGCTCATTTTCTGTGGCCCCTGTGGTCAACTTTTTGAAAAAGAGTTGGGATCTTTTTTCCAGAAGTCGCCGAACCCTTTTTGGCAGCCTGCGGTTCATCCGAGTGCGTGCCGGTTTTCCTGGGACGAATGTCGCGTCAGCCTCGTGGACTTTCTGTACAATGGTCCTATATAGTTCTTCCACCGGAGCTGGTCTCAGTGTGACTTGTTCAAGGAAGATGCGCATTCCCGAGAAGTCTGCACGGCAGAAGTCTCGAAACCACTTCTGAGGTTTGGGATTTCTGGCAGCAGTTCAAAATCTGCTATCTACTATGCCGAGGCACAAAAGCTATGCCACTGATGAAGACTTTCTCAGCCTAACTTCTAGATGACCCTTGGTACACGTAAGCATTCATCTTTTCAATATTTTAATGTTGGGACACTTCTGTGCATCCGTGTATCAAGTACTGAACAGCTAAACCCACCAATCAGCTTGCTGATGTTGTTAGGCTGCATTCAGTCGGTGCCACCTTCGTTGATTTGGCCGTTGCGCCCAGAGGCCTACTCTTGGAGAACATGTGCGTCGATTAAACACCTGGGCCGGGGAATCCTGCCAATCTCGTGCGAAAAATTGGGTCCCCAGCCATCTTCACAACCAGTAATGCCATGAGTTCGTTCGGTCCACCGTTAACAGAAAAACGCGCCCTGGGTATCAGAATTCGAACCCCCATATGACAATCCATATTGAACTCAATCGTGAAGGCATTCTAGCGGTCCACTCCCACCAAACGACAACGAAAAGATAGCCCGAACATTTCCTATGGTGTTGTTATTATATTTGTAGTCAAAACGAATGGGAAAACTCATCCCATACCTCAGCGACCCGCGGTGAGGAGATAAATTCAATCATTCTGAAGCTTTCGATATTTCCGCTGCATAGCACCAAAATGTACTCACACTATCCGTGCAAATCCTCTAACTTACATCAAGCAACTGAAACTCACTTTCTTATTTTTCTCCCGACGCTGTTAAATTAGCTGCATATGTTGTAGGAAATCTCTCACGTTTTAGCCACCCTGACCCATCTCTACATCCACCGTGCAATCCGTGATGGATGCTCTCCCAGTCCTCCGCCCCAATATTGTATACCAAGCTCGTTTTCGTTTCCGCAGGCTCAACGTCCTATCGGAGGCAATCAATTATACGTCTCATCTACAAGGGTGAGATAGGCGAAACTTTATTAACAATAAGCCATCAGGCCAAAAGTCCAGCCCTCTAATTTCCCGAAAAGATCATCAGTCAGTCTCTACAACCGTATATTGTCTTGAACGATATAACACTCTTCACGAAATCGAAACCGCCCACCCGTCCCTCTTCAGCCAGCTTAACTTGCGATTTCACTGATATGTTGACTAACATTTTCAACGAAATAATTTGGTTGCTCCTACTCTGAGTGCCCGAAATATTTCCATGTTTTGTTGCATGGCACAATATTGGGTCGTTTGGGAATCTCGAAAATTTGTGACCAAACACACAGCCAGTCTTTTCAGGTACTGTAATGTGTGGGTCTAAGAGGAAGCTTCCACTTTGTTTCACACCATCTCTGAGAGTCGCTCCTTACGCCTATGCCTTTTGCAGCTTCCTTATGTAGGCCCCCATCATTCCGCCCGCTGATCACAAATGGCATCCTGCTGGCTGACAAAAATCCTGCAGCCCTACGATCTTTCCATAGAGTGAGTTATCACTACAGCTATCGATTCTAAACCAGGAAACACCCACTCAAGTCCTAAACGGCACATATTAGTTTTGAGAAGCCAAGTGCTTATGTAATCTCCGCTTACTTCTAAGCACCCACCGCGAAACTGCCATGGAGATTATGGTGTCCAGATCACCTGCAAACTTACCCCTTCCTCGGTGCCTCGTTTTCTCTGAAATGGCTGCCAAACTTAGAAAGACCTCAATTTCACATCCTGCTGCATTTTCATGCGATCATATATTATCTATTATTCTTTTTTCCGTCCCATTTTGGAACTTGCTCCTGGGGTTTTTCTCTGATCACCCTGGCCCATGTCCATCCGTCTGCCGGATCTAATATTATTCGAAGTCGGGATCTTACGTTTTATGGCTTTTCTTATAATTGGGGCTTACCTTTCAGCAGACGAGGCCTCGCAGTGGTACTTATTGTCTCGTTTGTTTGACCGCACCATCTCTCAATGTCATTCATAAGCTCGAGGACAAAATATGGTCAGCGCCCAGTAACCTACTCACCACTCAATGAGATTCTTTGCGTTATAACGGTGACTTTTCGAGGATGCTAATTTTTTGTGGAATTAGTCTAAGCCGCTTGCGCGTTTCAGTGATATGCTGCTCGTAACATGTTGTATAGGTAAGTCAACTTCCATGGTCACCGACCACCATCGATTCGGGCTAACCCATTCCGTGGCACAATCAGGAGGGGCATGTGATTCATGCACAAGCCAGCATTCTGATTGGTTAGCTGTGTACAAGCCAGGAAGCACGCGCATTCAAATTGCATTTGTGCACAAACCAAGAAGAGAACGAGTTAAATGGTCGAGGCGCATAAACCAGGGAAAGATGGACTCTCCATGCAAGCGAGAAAATAGCATGAAAAATTTCAAATAATTTATTTCAGGAGACCTCTGTTTCTTCACGTGATATGTGCAATAGGACGTTTATAAAATAA